TCTCCTGTACAGCTGTCCTCTGATACTCTTCATCCAGTCACTGGAGAAAACATCTGTCACTGTTATAATATTTATAAAGCATTGTTTTACTAAACTATAATGCTTATGCTGCTGATGCCTGTGTTTGAACTTTTTTTTAAATGTTGAGGTTTGGTAGTAATATTGGAGTCCTCCTTGCTTTATTTAAATAAAAAGTTGACCATGTCGCGCAATGTCCGGAAGGGGTAATTATTATATTATACACAAGTTCCCTTTCTCTGTTGAGAAATTTTTATGCAATCGTTGCAATTGTTTGAAAAAGAATTAGCCGTACGTAATCATATTAATTTAATTGTACTCAGGTTGGGTTTCAGACATAAAAAGCCTAGTATGGGTTTGTGTAGAATTGCTGTGGTAGATATTAAAGGCGCCGAGTAGGGGGGGGGGTAGGAATGGTCTGTGAGGAGAACGATAACAGGGTTGTGCATATATTCTTATAAAATCTTATATCCTGTAGCACCTTTGTCAATTCTAAAGCCTTTCAATTGAAAGCTTATAGCCGAAGGTAGACTGCATGTGTGCTGTGTGGTGACTATTGGTAGGCTATTAGAGATAACTATGTTACAATGTTTTACTTTCGGTCGTTCTTCGCAGACTCACAGTAGAAGCTAAAACAAACAAAGAAAAAAAAAAGAAGGATAGTTGTTTTTCCTAGATCTGTCTCCAGCGGTTCTCGGTTGGCTTGCCTTTGTCAGGCTCCTGTAATCTTCCCTTTAGTCACTTAAAGTTCAAGTTATTTTCCAAGCCTCCTCGACGAGTTATCACTCCCCACCACCAGCCTCCACAAACAGAACTTGGGAAGCGTAGTAGTAGCGCGGCGCTGCTCGTATCAGATTCTGTTTAGGTCGGCCCCGATTTTCATCGCTCGAGATAGCGGCGCTCCGGAAACACAGTCCATCACTGTCTTTCTTATCCCGGCGACGACTTACAGCTGCTGGACGCTCGGTCCCTCCGGGCAACCCGATACTTTACGGTCCTCGCCAATCGCTTTGTTGACCCCGAATTCCCTCTCATTCCCACCAATCGACACTGCCATCACAATGGTTCAAGTAAGATCAAACGAACTGTTGCACCGAGGACACACACACACACGCACACACACACACACACACACACACACACACACACAC